CATTACTAAAATTACTAATATTATTTTTGTGTCTTATGTGTTTGCACTAAATCATTAAAGCACATTCCTGGTCTGTGACCTTTGTTTGTAAAAGGTCACTATCATATTCCTGCATCCCCCATATAATTACTTACTACAAAGATAATTTTTCCCCTCAAAACATGCAGGGCTTTACATATTCATTCTGCCTGGTCACTGTTATTCACTAGAGTTGTTACTAAACCTAAAAAGTGTCAAGTTAAGCTGCTTGAATAAACCTTTTGTGAAGACGTTTTTTTCCAGACAGTCGTCGCCTTAATGAATACATGATACAGTATCTCCTAGATCCTAGAACCACCATGAACTGACCTTTGACCTCATCAGTCAGCAGCCTTGAATGCCCACACACAGTCTGTATATTAAAGCTTGGAAGTAAATTGTAACTTGTTATTTACTTGGGTTATCACAGCAACAAGTCAAAATCTCTCTTCCAAATTAAATTTTTTTCTTTGCTTTAATGAAAACATGATCTGACTCATGTGAGGGCAGCTGTGGCGCATAGAGGGGCCTGTACCTGGCAAAAACACCTTTTGCAAGGTATGGGATTATATTATCAGTAACAACAATGGTATTTCAAATATTTCATTGGTTTATATTATATATCACTAATATTAAAAAAAATAATAATAATACAATCTACATACGAACAGTGACAGGGTCAACATGGCTTTGATATAATGCCGGGGTTGAGCGTGGGGGAGTGTGTGTATGAACATTCTTTGGAGCTGAGTGCATCTACACATGGAAATCATTACAGATACAAGAGAAGAGACTCCAACCTGACACAGATCTACAGAGCTGACGAAGCAGCCGCTGAAGACAGTAAAACAGATTTGTAGTTTTGGCTGATGTAGGCCCACAGGTACATGATTCTTGTAACAGGTTTCATGCATTGGGATCAGGAGCGTTTAGACAGAGCTATAAAAATCTAACCACGAGGAGTCACACTCAGGTTAAAATATCAACCATCTTCCAGATTTAGATCAAATAAAATATGTGTTACAATGGCTATTTATAAATACACAATGACATATAAGTCAATGTTATGGAGAGATAAAATGCTAATAGTTTAAATACATCTGCCCCTATTTAACCCGATGGAAAGCACCAATGACTGTTCATCGCGGCAAGTTTTACTACGGTTGAGTGAGAGCTTGTGCCAAAGTGAAATCCGGCTCAGCTGATGTCTTTGTGGTTTCTATTCAGTGGGTCTATTTTGAGCAGCTGTCGGCAGAGGCACAGCAGAGCTCAGCTGTCCCCCCATCAATCAGCAAACAGTACCCTGCCTGGACCCCAAGACCACACTGACCAGAGACCAGCCACAACATGGCTGATTCATAGAAGCGCTGACTACTTAAGAGAATGCAAAACAATTTATTGTTTTTAATATTACACCATAGGGATGTATTACTAAGGCTTTGCTGGGGTCGAATATCCATTTTTCCCGGAGAAAATAATAATAATTGGAAGACATGGCCCCCTAAAAGTCAGAATCACTCATAACAGTTGCTATAAAAGACCAGAGATTTAGAAAACCAGTAGAGAATAAGTTTTCTCTCTTTGCTCATTAAAACAATTTAACTACAAATTGTTTAGAAGTAACTACCATCTTGTTACTGTATATTTCATTATGCAAGAATGGTTCATTTGCAACTAAAGGGAAATTGGGCTTTGCTTTTTAAGAAAATAGCCTGTTATAATAGATAACAACTACAGTATTATAACTCAAATAAAGGAGAGACATTTTAAGTGCTGAAATAATATGGTGTATATTTCACAGCTTCATAACTGACTCAATGAGAATGATTTTCGCAGTTTCCAGCAAGATAAGTGTACTGGGGTCGAAAGCCTATTCACTGGTAAAACTGTGGTGGGGTGTTAGAAATAATAAGTAAAGACTGACTGAACATGACAACAGTAGGCTATAGCCATCTTTAATCGTTCATGCATTATAACTTCAAATAAATACAGTGTTTTTGACATTTTAGAGATATAATGTCAAACAACTGTTTTCTGTGTTCTTGTTATGAGGCAGAAGAACTCTTCAAGGATGTCCATGCCAATGCAGTCAACTTAGTCTCATCCACCTCAAGACTTGAGTGTGGAGGAGACAGCTGAGGCTGACAGGCAGCGTCAACAGTGCCCACAGTTGTCCTTCATTAGACCACAAACCCATGGCAGCAGCCTCAGGCACAAACCACTAACCCAGCTGCAATACACTAAGGTTTATAAGAGACTCAGTGAAAGACTAGGGCCAGTCTATCAGCAATTTTCTAAACTTTGATGCACATAGCTTTTGGAGGATCTGAGAATGAACCATATTCCCAAGTGTGGTCTGTAATGACGATAATCCCTTCTACCACTATCTATAGACTGGACCTATGTGACATAAACATAAAACCAGCATCAGAACCTACGCATAATATAACTTTTTACTAGTCTCGTGATAGACTGAAATAGCCTAATGCGTGGGCACATGTTACCTCTTACTACTCACGTACTCACCTATAGACACGAGCTTTATGTGTTCCCTTTCTAAAAACTCCAGCGCCACGGACACGTTTTCCAGCTTCATCTGCCTGAAGTTGGGTCTGGCGTGATACTTCCGATACATCTTCTTCTGACTCAGCACCTCCAGCAGTCCGATCAGCTTGAGGCCGTCGCTCAGGTCTTTCTGCAGGTCATTGATGCGCTTGTTCAGGCACTTGAGGTGCTCGTTACACCACCTGGTGAACGTGTTCTGTTGGATCTTCTTCCACGGTGCGTCCTCCGCCAGGTCCTTCTCTGTGGCAGGCATCTCTTCTTCCTCCTCGTCGCCGATGTCGGTGCCCTGGTAAAAGAGCGGCTGCTGCGGCTCGAAGTAGCTGCCGTTATTCATCATGGTGCCTCCCTTTTATAGCTCGAAACGGAGTGAAAAACCAGAAAAAAAAGAAGAAAGAATAGTCCAAGGAAAAAAGTGGAGCAAAGGGGCAGTGACGATCCAGTTCACAGTTGAAAACTTTAAGAAAGTTAAAACCTAAACCAAGGACACTCAACTAGTCCTTCCAGCCGGTCGAGTCATGTGGGAGTTCAGATGAGAAAACTAACCAGAAGAATGTAGGTTCTTTCCAGTGGACACACTTGGCGCTCGGCGCTGAGGCGCAGCGTGTAAGCAGGGACTGAAGTGCCCTGACAAGCTGACGCTTAAAAATCTGCCGTCACTTCACTGGACTCCCAGGAATGGCCCGTCCATGACCATATAAAACTCCACCCGGGCATCCTCTCTAAACCCACGGAGATACGGAGACACGCGCCCATTGGGCAGAGGAGCAACACGTGGGACCTCCGGGCTAGCACCACTCCCCTCCACCACCCTGGAACCCAACCCCAGGAGCAGGGAGCTCCACACCGAAGCGACACCTCTGCGTATTTTAGGAGCTCCTGACCCAGGGAAGGGCTGTAAGAACCGTTCATTAACTGTGAAAAGAAACATGATGTCATCTGTGTTCACCGACAGCCTATAGTCTTTAAATTTAGGCTTTGTATAAACACTAAACAACAGGGAATTAGTGGCCTTTTATGAGTAGCAAGAGGATTCCATTTGTGGACATAATTTCAGGGTTAAAGTGACCAAAGTATAGCCTAGAAAAGATGCATCTCCAAAAGTCTATGACTTTTTATTAGGCCTATTCATTCATTTACAACAATGTACATAACAAAATCACCAATCTAAACAGATGGAATAGATATCAAAGCAATATCATCATAGACACTCGTGCTGGGTCCCATGATTGGAGTTCAACCACAGTATTACACAAGAAAAAGACCAAGAAAACTACATAACTTATTTCCTTGGACCAAACAAGCAATAAAGTCACTATGTGGATTGGGATGCTCATGCTACACTCAGGCATGGGTCATGCAGAATCACTGCGTAACATGCAACAACTAAATGCTAATTTTCCATAATTTGAACTAACTACATTAGGACCATTTTAACATGTGGCGTATGGCAGCTGGATTCTTGAGAAATATGCAAACATACATAATACACATACAATATTCCACAGAAGGAACGTAACTTAAAATAAAAAGATTCTATACAAAAACACATCTAGGGACTGTAACAGATTTTTCTTACAAGAAAAATATAGCCTACATGATGTAGATTAAACTTCAAAAGATTACTTTATAGAATTTAGACACTAATTTCATTATAATGTGTGATACACAATTTCAGAAATGTTATTTACACTTATCTGTCATTAGTAATTTATATTAAATGTAGGAGTTATTTTTTACTTCAGTGTAACTGGTGAACAAGGGAAATGGAAATTCAGACCTTACTTAAACTAAACAACTCCACAGTGATTAATTTAATTGGCCAAGTTCTGATATCTGCCGATATGTAAACATTAAATAAATAAATAAATAAATAAATGAATAAAACTTTTGTGTAACTTTCCAAAAAATATTAGTTCAAAGATGTATATCAACATTTCAACATGACTTATTTACAGATTTGAAAAGTATATATTTTTAAAAGTAATTACCCTGAAATGGATAATACATGATCCAAAGAAAACCAAGGCCTAAATCTGACACAGTGAAACCCGTCATCATAAACAATCTCTTGATGAAAACAAAATTGATTGTATTTATTCATGCTACTAGGTCAGTGTAAACATTAAGATATAATATCAGACCTATAAAGTGTTCAAAATACAATGTAAAATACAGAAATAAAGCTATGTACCCAGTTTTTCTTGCACATTTAATTGCTACAAAAATGAATGGAACATCGTGACAACTACCATGGTGTGCTCTCCTCTGAAAGCACACAACAGTGCAAACTATTTTCAACAATAAGGCTAAGTATTTTGAACCCCTGTAGTTTGTAAAAATATTCAAAAATAAAAGCCACTAGCCTTAAAATTCTATTCAAATTAATTGGATTATTACGGTATTATATATAAATAACTATATCAGTACTGTGTTTCATGTAGAGGTGCAGATTATTGCCCTCTAGTGGTAAAAATAATTTCATATAATTAGAGGTTTGTGCAAATTAAGTCTTGTAGTTGACCTTGATCCCATGTTTGTGGATATTTATGTAATTTAAAATCACCAATCCGCTGTGCAAAAATAACGTTGCCTTTAAGACTCCTGTGGGCCCCAGATCAAAAGTGTCCTCACCAGTGGTGCACAAACGGAGCAATGCAAAAAGCAGACACACAGTATTTAGGGCAATGCGCTTGATGATACTTGCTGGGTCTCTGTTTTGGGTCCTCAGGTTCTAGTCAAACTGGGGATGACCAGAGCTGCAACTGCTGCCACAGCAACCACTGCCACTGTCAGCGTCCAGCCTTCAGAGTCAGTCTGCAGAAAAAAACATCACAACCGTGTTAGGATTGAAAGTGTCAGCCGTTAATGCATATGACAAACTATTACTTTTAATTTTTTTTTTTTTTATTTCATCCACTTAAAGAAAGGTTTACTGTTGGTCAGTGGTATATATTAGTCTTGTTTATTGGGATATTTTGCAGCATTGTATCGTACTTCAAAATCTTTTATTGTGACGGGTGTAAATGCAAGGTGATGTGTATGCACAGGGACCACATTTTTCTTCCATTTTAAACATTACAAAATCAAAAACATACAAAATCAAGGTGTTGTAATTGACTTTCATTTGCAAAATAATATATTTTCTAGGCTTCTCTGAATAGTATGGCTGCTAAGTAACAATTATAGAATAGATTGCTTTCATGGATTTGATGTCTTAAATTTTGATAGAGGCCAGATGGGAGATTCACCAGTTTTGTATGATACAGTCAAACTGAAAATCCATAAATGTTGAACAATATCAAACAGGCATGGGCCCCAAACATACTAATGTTGCATCTTAAACAAATCTTCAGCATTTTGACAGTTAAAATGAAAAATCTGACCAACAAAATCTGACCTAGCTTAATTTTAAACAGTTAGGCATTCAAGAATATAGTGATATGTGATATGAACTCAACCTTTTCATGGGTTTCAGGCAAATTCTTCCTTCCTGATTTGTAGAATTTTCTGAGGACCATTCCTCATTCAAACGACATAATATTTTGATTTGAATTGTGCTATTGTTATAACAATGGAAGACTGCTTCCGAATCAAATCATTCAAATCAGGATTCCTTATGCCTGAAACTCATTAACTACCTTATGTCACATTTGCTGTTCATGTCCAACCAGAAAGTAAAATTAAATACGTCATCAAAATTGTCTTTAGAAAACTACAGGGTGGATATAAAAGTGCCATATTCTCTATATTTTGAGTATAGCTGTCAATAATTATTGGAAAAATATCTCTGGATTAAGTTTGTTTTGCACACTGGACAAATTAAGTATGTTCATTTCCTCATACTATGGAATAAAGAACAGAAAATGAGCTCTTAAGGCCTTCAATTGTTAGCACTACAGAAGCCCCCTGTCCTCCTTCTGTGTAAAATGACAAAATGTTTTCAACACAAAAGAGTTCAACAAACTGCACCCCATAGAGAAGTAAGGACAAGGTCATACCTGGTCCCCTCTATGACGCCAGCTCCTCCCACCAGCACCAAATCAAGGCCACTATAACAATCATTCCTATGAAGGGTATGGAAAGAACAGGGGGCTCACACGGACGTGTGCTGGTCTGAAGAGAAGACAAAAGGAGGAGTGTAGGAGGAGATGCGGAGGAGGGAGCGGAAATAAATAATCACAAAAAATTGAGGATGCAATGACACAAGCAAACAAGCATGCAAACAGTTAAAAAAATAAATGTTTAGTCAAAGAATATTAGTGACACTGAATGGATCTGGAAATAAAAGGTGCATACAATGGTAATATAACACAGCAGCAGAGAACAACAACAAGGGGTCATTTCTGATAAAAGTCAAATGTAGGAAAAGTGAATGGTGAGTTAATGAAGGGGTGTAAAGTAAAGAGTGTCTCTGCCCTTCAAGTCTCACATTGTTCTTCATATTGTTTCAACATTTAAAACATACCACTAACAATCAAGCAAAAACACCCATGCCCAGTGAAGACAGGTTACACCAAAAGGCAATGTATTGTAAAAAATGAAAAACCTAACGAAGAGGTGAGCTTTGGCCAAGCCTATTATACCCTTTTTTTGGTTGGGACAGTATAGCATAAGATGTGGTGAAGAGAGGAAGGAGTCATTAAGCAAATTCTGTGTCATCGTCAGGAAGTGTTTTCACAAAGCTGATGCAGGAAATGTGCCATAGGGGTGGGCGATATGACAAAAAATAATGTATGGCATGTCTTACAGCCTAAGTCACTATAGCCTCACTTTAATAGCTTTATACTGTAGCACCCTAAAAAGTTATTAAAAATATTTGCATGTTCAAAGGGTTTATGCCTCACTGCTATTTTTTGCATGGAAGATCACTTCAGGGTCAGATCACCTTTAATTTTGATATAAAATCGCCCACCTCTAATGGGCCATAACACGGCCAAGCATATTTAAACAACATGCAAGCAGTCACATTGCGGAAAAATTATATCAGCATGTCTTCAAGAACTGGTATTGTCATTGTTTATAGTGCTTTCTTTAAATTTATGGGGGTGGTTTATGTGGCTATGTATTTCAAGGCAAGTTATTACTGTTTAGAACCCACCTGAGTCTTCTTGCCTGCTAGTTTTTCCAGCTGGGTCTTGCATCTGTGTAACTCCTGCTCCAAAGAGGCTCGCTCACATTGACTGATGTCATAGAGCTGCTGCAGCTCAGCTAGCTCCCCCTTTAAACTTTCACACTGTGAAGGAGACAACAAACTATGACAGATTTCTCAAGTAAATCAATGCAAAACATGGTGCAGTGCCTCTGTTCTTACTTCTTTCTGTACATTCTGAGCAATCTCCTCTGCTCTTTTCAGCTGCCCCCTCAGACCACTGAGCATTTGAATGGAATCCTCTGGCACTTCATTGTATTCAGGACTGGACTGATGCAGAGTAATATATGTGTCAGATTTCAGTGGATTTTCCCACGTGTCGTTAGGGGAGCCCTCCTTTCGCACAGCCAAGTAGTCATCGTCATGGCTGTTAAATAAACAGTTTTAATGTTGCATTATAAAAAATGGACCACAGGATTAAGAACTTACAGTTCTCTTTGCTGCTTCTGCAAGTGCTCCACTTTACGACTAAGCTCTTTGTTGTCATCATCTAACGACTTGTGTTGATCTGTCAGAGTAATGACCTCATCCTTCAGTTCAATGATGTGTCCTGTTCAAAAGAATGTTTATTTATAGTGTGTTATCAGAAAATGAACTATAATAAGTATGTATGCACAGACCATGTGATTCAGTTGTGGGGCTTTGGCTCTTCATACTGATCTCAGCCTTCAGAGAGGTGATCTCCAGCTCATACTCTTGTGTGGTGGCGTACAGGCGCTGCAGTTCAGCTCTGACTCGACACAGCTCCTCCTGTAGAGAGGCGATGTCATTCTCTCGCTCTGCTGCCGCCTCCTCGGCCGCCTGCTGTAGCACCAGCACCTCCTCCTGGGCTGAGCGCAGCTCCTCCTGTACCTCCTCCAGCTCGCTCTCCTTCTCCTCCTCCATACTGTCCATCTCCTCCTGCACAGACCGCAGCTGAGCTATGGACAACAAACAGTATTATAAAAATACAGTAAGGGGATATAAAATGTTACTCCTGAAAAATTGTCACCTTGTAGCCTCTGAATCTGTCTAGTAAAACTCTCGGCCTGATGGGCACTTGCAAGTCTTTCCTCTTCTAGTAGACCTAAATGTAAAACAGTTCATGAAAATATTTTGTACTTTGTAATTAAAAGAGGCATATTGAGGAAAATTGACAAGAGCTTTAATCTATATTATAACAAGACGTACCCTGCAATTCTATAAAGCTCTCCTCGTGCCGCTGAGACACTTCCCTGGTTTCTTCCAGCTCCAGCAGTAGTTGCACCACCTGGGACTTGAGCTCCTCCACCTCTTGCTCTTCGTTTTTCTCTTCTCTTTCCTCTGTTGTGTCTTCACATTTCTCCTCCTTAACCTCTTTCTCCTCCTCATCTTTGTCCTCATCCATTGGCATGTCCTTCTCCTCCAGGGACTCACGCTCTTTGGCTGTGAGTGTCTCCGCCAACATGAGAGGCTTCTCCTCCTTTAGCTCACACAGGTCACCTATGGCAAAGTGCAGACATTTGTGTTCCCTGAAACCGAGGACTACCCTACAATCACAAAGATTCTCAACTACTAAATATCTTCTCCCATAGCTATGCAAAACAATGTCCTGTAGAGGAAATTTGTGATTTAACTGATGATATTTTGTTTCCTTTTTTTCATTTTTTTACCATTTCACCTCAGTTTCAACAGAGACAGCAATGATGATCCCCATGATCCTTCCTGCTGTCAATGTGGCTGATTCTATAAATTAATGACCTTTTCCTATCTAAACTACATTATAACCATAATTTTCAATCAGTGCTTGTACAAAATCACAAGTGAAAGTGTAGATGTGTAGAAAGAGTTTGGACAGATTACTGTCTACAGCTAAAAATAAATAAAGAATAAAAGTGTTTAATTTTGAAGTGTTTTCAAAGTTCAATATTGAGTTCATTATAATATAGGCTTAAGTATAAAAGATGAATAAACAAAAATGATTACACGGTATCATTATATACTATATTATAATCTATATATTGAATATATGGTTAGAAGCTAAACTCAGACCAACCAGATGGATCAACAATCTCCTCTATCACTGGTGGCAGGCGGAATCCATCCATGTTTGAGCCAATGGATGAAGCACAGCTGCAGACACGGGGCACAGACACAGGCTGATGCTGTTGTTGGTGATAGGAGCAGAAACTGGCTGAGGCAAGTGGGGGGGTCCTCAGACTTGGTGCAGACTGGGTTTTCTCATACTGCAGCCAAGATATGGACAAAACAAATTAGTCCAACATGATAGTGTTTCGCAGTACCAAAACATACACAAAGACCACAAGGCTAGAGGTATTCTGTGCTATGCTGTTTTAACTTATACAAGACTTCTATTCCCAAATGAAGCTATTGCTAACATTAGCAACAAAAAGGCTATGATGTTGATCAATACATTTCAATGTCAACATTAAGAAGAAAACAAATATGGCATCCAAAATATAATCTTGAAACATTGAAAAGTATGACGCTGTCCCTTTAACATTTTATCATATAGCCTCGCTGCTTGTGTCATTAACCTGTTATGGATGTAGCTACAGTGTGTGCATGACCTTCCTTCAGAGTGATGTAAAAAGCTGCTCTGCTGGGTGCTTGCTGCTAAAGCATTAGTCTAGAGAATGTGTCTGCTGAATAACAGATGAATAAATACCTTGTTTTGTATGATGCAGACTGCAGCAGTGGTGTTGTTCCTGCCTCCCTCTCTGTGTCTTCACTGCAGACCTGTCTCTCTTGTCCCACATTTCCTCCTCAGCACCAGTGTGATGCAGAGGCTACGTCACTGAGCGCACAGACAGACGCACAGACAAACCCTGACATGAATACGTAATGAGACCCAGTGACGTGCTTTATTAACCAATTCATAGTCCAGAGTTAACACCTGCAGAGAGTTGACATTATCAACACAAAGACATATCCTTCTTAGAAAGACAAATTTATCAATCCTTAAAGGTAGCATACACCATGTAATTTTTGTAGTGCACGATCCGCCAAGCTTGTGGCCATGGAGATATTATTACTTTACTTTGCACTCTACCTTGAAATGCATTCTTACTTCAGCAGGTTTACTCTCCCCACAGATCAGATTATTTGGCCTGATGGCACCACCTGCTTCTCTCTTAGAATGGCTTAATGTTTAATGCCATTTTCTGGAACATCTCCATCAACTTACAAGCAGATGCCAGGTGGAAAAGATTACACTAATGTCAGTCAAAAGATACAAAATTGATTTATCATTGCATTTTTCAAAAGTTCCGTGGCTGTCCTGTGTCTGCGGCTTCTTTTTGCGCACTATGAGTCTAATACAAGGCTGGCAGAGTCCTGACCAGGGTGCTGACCAGAGTCAAACCAATTCAACCGTGGTCTGCTAAAGTCACAGTTTAATGCCGACACAAGCCTGGTACAACCCTTCTTCGGTCCTTGTTTAGCCCTGGTTCAGTTCTGGTAGATCCTGGATCAGACCAGTTCTGTGCTAAGCAAATATCTCTGTTTTCAGTAGTTTGCAAAGTAAACTTCACTGACAAGTGCAGGAAACGAATCAATCGCAGATACCCCGCGCACATACTTAATTGTCTAGCGCCACTCAATCTCAAATCAACTTATTAAAAGTTTTACACTGCTGAAAGCGTTACAGTATCAGCACTATTTTTTTTTTATTTTTTTTTTTGCGCCGCTCCTGTAGTTTGACTTCCACTCCCATCTTGTGAAATTAAGTGTGGGTGATGGATCAGCTGGTTCCAAAAAGTTTGGTGCCACACCCCCTGCGGGTGCGACGCGCCTGATTACAACAGAAAATGTACATAGTGCAGCTTTAAAGAATTAGAGGACAGCCTGGAGCCGACTTCACGACTTTAGCGGTATTAACGTAACCGTGGTGAAGTTAGATTCACATCAGACGTTCGATAACCAGTTACGCAACAACAGCGGAGATGTTCATTGCCTGTGCCCTGCTTGCTCCATCATGGTGCGGGGAGCTGTACACCAAAGCTCCGCTGAGTTCGCGGGTTGGGGACCGTCAATAAATTACAATTGCATTGAATGGAGTCTGCTAATATATATATATATATATATATATATATATATATATATATATATATATATATATATATATATATATATATATATATATATATATATATATATAAATGTGTTTCTCACCTTCCACGGTGGTAGGTCTCTCTCACCCTCATTCAGCTCGGGTCCTCTACCAGAGGCCTGGGAGCTTGAGAGTTCTGCGCAGTATCTTTGCTGTTCCCAGTACTGCACTTTTCTGGACTGAGATGTCCATTGTTTTTCCCGGTATCTGTTGTAAGCCACTCTTCCAGTTTGGGGGTTACAGCCCCGAGTGCTCCGATCACCACAGGCACCACTGATGCCTTTACTTTCCAGGCTCTCTCCAGCTCTTCCTTGAGCCCCTGGTATTTCTCTACCTTCTCGTGTTCCTTTTTCCTGATATTATCATCGCTTGGTATTGCGATGTCCACCACCACGGCTCTGCTCTGTTTCTTATCCACCAAGAGCAATCCCTACTATATATATATATATATATATATATATATATATATATATATATATATATATATATATATATATATATATATCTTATATATATCTTATATATCTTCCAGGTCAATTAATATAAAAGCACCAAACCAAGTTATTATAGTAGTCCTACTCCTCATCACGCACACCTTTTGGTTTTCCAAATTAACCCTTTGTGGGATTTTTAGGAAAATCATTAATTTTTTTTCAATAGCTTCTAAGGCAGATGACCTACCAACTCCAAACCAAGTTATTATAGTAGTCCTACTCCTCAGGTATCATGCACACCTTTTGGTTTTCCAAATTAACCCTTTGTGGGATTGGTAGGTCATCTCCCTTAGAAGCTATTGAAAAAAAAAACACACATTTTTAAAATAAAAAAATTCCTCAAAATCCCACAAAGGGTTAATTTGGAAAACCAAAAGGTGTGCGTGATACCTGAGGAGTAGGACTACTATAATAACTTGGTTTGGAGGTGGTAGGTCATCTGCCTTCGAAGCTATTGAAAAAAACCCACAAATTTTTAAGATAAAAAATTCCTAAAAATCCCACAAAGGGTTAATTTGGAAAACCAAAAGGTGTGCGTGATACCTGAGGAGTAGGACTACTATAATAACTTGGTTTGGTGTTTTTATATTAATTGACCTGGAAGATTTTATATATATATATATATATATATATATATATATATATATATATATATATATATATATATATATATATATATATATATATATATATATATATATATATATATTTTTTTTTTTTTTTTTTTTTTAGCAGACTCCATTAAATGTAATTGTAACTTATTGACGGTCCCTAACTCGCGAACTCAGCGGAGTTTTGGTGTACAGCTCCCCGCACCATGATGGAGCAAGCGGAGCACAGGCAATGAACATCTCCGCTGTTGTTGCGTAATTGAATATCTAACGTGTTTTGTGATACTAACTTCACCACGGTATTAACGTAGCGGAGCTCATTTGCTGAAGCCAGGCAACTTCATCCTGTTAATACACGCGCATCATACAATGATTAGCATCGTTTATAGTCTGTTTTAGTTTTACATTATCACCCTGAAGAAGCAACATCAGTAGGGTGACCAGATGTTCCTATTTAGCCTACCCGGGACAGTCCCAGTTTGTCTCCTGTCCCAGCAGATTTATCCAAAACCATTGATTTGTCCCAGTTTTATACGAGAAATGCCCCCTGGCCAATTTTTTTTGGCCAATCTGATACCTGCCAATAGTAAAGAGGCATAATATGTCATTTGTAAAATCATGTCATTTCTGTACAATACAGAAAAGCTGCTTAAAAATGACCAAAACACAAAGAAAATGTGTGTGATTATTGACGCACCAAGTGCATAACAGTTTTCTTTAATTACGCTCTCGTTTCACAATTTTATTATTACCAACCACCCTAACCCGATCGTGTCCCAGTTTTTGATTTTGAAATTCTGGTCACCCACCGAGTTTCTTTTATGTAGAAGACTATCCAAGCAAAGAGGCCACAAGAGGATAAAGTGTGTCTGATTATTGTCTGATGGCCTGGAAGCTCAAGTCCTGGTCCTCGTTGCACAATACTGCTGTAGTCCTACTGATGGGTTGTGGACCTTACAGTCTTACCTGTATTCTGAAATCTCCTCCATGCTTTGGAGAGTCAGACACCGCAGTTTTCCTGGCAATGAGGTGCAACTGTCTGTGACTGCCTGTTACCACTGTAGTACAACCAGTAGCCTACTGAGCCTTACTGAATATAAAAGTGGGAAAATGCTCACAAGGCCCGCTGCAAGAAGCCCTCTAGCGGGCAATTCTGTGAACTACAGTGACAGTTTTATTTGCAAAGAAATTGAATTTCATAAATATTGGATATCAAGAATTAAATGTAATTGCTGTCAATGAGCGTTTAAATAATCTGACAGGATAAAGGGTATTTTCTTAATTAATTTTCTTAATTGAAAGCGCTTCCTGTCGCGTTCTTAAATTATGCAAATTAAATCCACGCGCATGCTCAGTTCTTGTATGACGTAAACCGGCGCATAACGTCGCACGGCCGCGTGATACCAGTGAGAGGTGACTCTGATCAGCCTGGTAAGGTTACGGATTTTTAACACAGTATGAAAATTGTTACGGTTATTTTTTATGTCGTTCTTTTAGCTGTAACTTCGGCTAACATTTGAAACCGTAAAGACAACCATTTACGTTTCTGTTACATTAACTACATTCTGGCTCTCTTAACTAAACAAGCCTCACTGGGCCCTGACTTGAACCAGGAAGCACGTCCACATCAGTCCTATGCAGAGAGCTATGGTGCGTTGCTTAGGTCTGCACTGGCTTATGAGTAGACTTGAAAGCTGCTCATTGTTAGTCCTAGCAATACTTTCATGGTCTTAGCACAAGAATGCATCTGACATGACATGTTAGTGCCACAAGAACCTTCAGTAGATTTTATGTTTCAAGCTGAAGCTTGATCCCGTACAAACTTTGTTATTGTTTTGTAGTTCTTGAAGATGTTTGGCGTGAGATGTATCCTGAGTGATGTCAGCAGAGGACTACAGAGATGTGCTTACCCGCAAATGCCAACCATTGGCACACAACTCTTCAGATTTTTCCCACATCAAACCCAAAGACTGGCTCATAGAAGATTCTCTCAAAAGCAAAACCCATCGACAAATGCAGCCAAGATAAAGCTTACGTCACGCCTGCTTGTCACAGTACTTTTTGGAGGTGGCTTGTTTGGAGCTTGGTACTATGTTTATTTAGAAAAGCAACAAAAGCTGCAACTGCAACGTTTAAACCAGCTAAAGCAAGTGGCTATTGGACAAGGCACTTTCAGTCTGGTGGACCACAATGGGCAGCACAGGACCAAGCAAGATTTCCTAGGGAGGTGGGTGCTGCTTTATTTTGGATTCACCCACTGTCCAGACATTTGCCCCGATGAGCTGGAGAAGCTGAGCACTGTTGTGTCTGTCCTTGACCAAGACCCGTCATTGCCAAAGGTACAACCACTCTTCATCACTGTGGACCCAGAGAGGGACACTGCACAAGAACTGGCTGTGTATATCAAAGACTTCCACCCGCGCCTGATCGGTTTGACTGGCACTCCAGAGGAGGTGAAACATGCAGGGCGGGACTATAGGGTGTATGCAAATCCTGGGCCTAAGGATGAGGACGGAGACTACATTGTGGATCACACAATCCTCATCTACCTCATAAGCCCAGATGGACTATTCTTGGATTATTACAATAGGATGAAGAGCCATGAACAAATAACAGAAAGCATCAGAAATCACATGAAGACGTATGTTAGAATCTAACCACACAAATCTGATCTGGAAAAATGTTTAAGGTCAGATATGGTCAAAAGAAAATGTGATCAGTGCAGAACTGCATGATTGCAATATTTCTATATTTTCAGTTTAAAATGAAATAAAGTAAATTTTGGATTACATACATCTTCTGTAGTATCTAAATTGATGTGACAATTTACAGTTCAATACCTCAATAGCTTTTTAATTACAGATACAAAGTAAATAGGGTATAATGCTAAAGATAAAATATTGAAAATACAGGTCATGATGGCTCAGCTTGAACCTTGAAGGTTTTTAAACCTTTCTGTGGCTCTGTGAACACTAAGGAGTGTCAATCCCATTGAATCTACACTCTTTTCCAGTCCAGTTAAACTGTCGATCTCCACTGTATAGTCATTAGCCTAAAAAAACAAGAAGCAGATATATAGAATTCATTATGATAATGAATATTTAATGTAACTTTAACTAAACAGTTTTTTATTTGATTTACCAGTTGCAAGGAGGCCACCAAGAATTTGCATACTTCAAAATTATCTAATCCCGAGACTATAGAAGCAAAGGGTCTGCGCTGACCCACACTGTCGAATGCATTTACAATCCTGTCACCGTAATCATGGATATCAAAAGCCGGCCGTTCTTCCTACAAGTAATATGAGACATAATTGTATTACTTATTTAAGGTTGCTTATACACTTCATAGTTACCTGCAAAGCCAGTTCAGGTTTGATTTGGTCTTCCCATTCTTTAACTCTCCGTGATAGTGCAGTCTCCTGAGTGTATCCCCGGGAGTTCTCCACAAGCTGCTCCTGCATTTCAAGAGGTACAAACACTTCTTAAACAGAGATCATACATTTCTTTAAAATTTGTTTGTGGGTATTACTTATTACTCACAACACGCAGTTTCACAAGCTGTTCATAACTCAGATCATCGTTCTGATCATCTGCAAATAATATACAGCACAATTCAGAAACATGCAATGTACTAAATTTTAAAACTGCTGCAATTTTAAATCACAACAAATCATATGCCAACAAACGCTACAGTATAAATTAGGGTGTCATACCTGGTGATATGAAGTCAGGCCCACCTCCACACTCATCAGGAAACCCCTCATGCTCATTGTCAGAGTTATCATTGTCTTCAGCTTCAAAAATATTTATCAATATTTAGCAGTTGTTCCTTTAGTAATAATAATAATAAAATATAGCCGCAAGCGGCGATCATCGGCCCTCACTCGAGCCTACGCCACGCCACGCCGCACCTCGACCACGCTGAGCCCTGCACATGCCGTGCCCCACGAATGCACCTTACCCCTTGATCTAACTCCTAAATTAACCCTAACCCCTAAACCCACCTGAACTCCTAACTGTAGCTCTAACCCTAGGCCGAACGTTACCCCTAACCTAATCCTAACCTTAACCTAATCTTAATGGAACCGTACTATTTTTCTCAATTACTGTATGTGCTGATTTTTTTTTTTATCCAAGATGGGGGGCATGGTCACAATATACTTTTTTGTTGCTATTCCCATGATGCATCTGTGTACCAAATTTGGTTTGGCTATGCAAAAGTTTTTATTGGGCCGTCCTATTGGCGAAGGATCAGATATTTGGCCTTGTTGCCATGGCAACACAATAAAAAACGGGATGTGGGGCATCATTGAGTTTTTTGAATTGAGACCATGTCATAAATGTGTCTACCAAATTTTGTATATCTGTGACAAATAAAACCATTTTTACTGTACCATACAATTTTCCTAGGGGGCGCTATCATGCACCATTTTTGAGATTTTCTTACATCAATCTGTTCAGGGTTGGGGTGTGAACCCACGATTAAAATTTGAGTGAAATTGGTCAAAGTTTGTGCAAATTATCACTCGTTGAAGTTTGATGGTGAGCCCTAAAAACGAACCCGAAATTTGCACCGTTGCCACGGCAACACCGTGTGACCTTTTAAAAAGCTTTTAACAACTTTTAATGTCCCACTTGTCTAGATGATACAGAATGATTCTGTCTGGGTCAAACGCCCAAGGACGAGTTCGTTCAAGTACGAGGACAGGTTGTCCCTCGCGCCATCAATCCAATATGGCCGACTTCCTGTTGGTTGCCTAGCAACCGCGTAATATACTTTTTTGTTCCTATTCCCATGATGCATCTGTGTACCAAATTTGGTTTGGCTACGCCAAAGTTTTTTGTCGGGCCTATTGGCAAGGGCAGATGTTTGGCCTGTCGCCATGGCAACACGATGGGAAATGGCATGGGGTCGTCATTGACTTTTTTGATCAAGACCATGTCATGAATCTGTGTACCAAATTTTATATGTCTACAACAAAGTAAATGTTTGCACTACCATGCAATTTCCCTAGGGGGCGCTATTGCGCCCATCTGAGATTTTCTTATATAAATCTGTTCAGGGTCGGAGTGTCAATCAACGATTCAAATTTGAGTGAAATCGGCCATAGTTTTGTGCCAGAATTTGTAGATTTTACCAATGGAGAGTTTATGCCATCGCTATGGCAACGCCATAAAAAATATGACATGGGTGTCACTGACTTTTGGATCAGGATGCCAAAAGGGAATTTTGTGCAAAATTTCAGAAATTTTTGAGCAACTATTTGGGAACAAATGATTTTTTTCTATATTAAATTTTGTTTCAATCTATAGGGGGCGCTAATGCACCAAATTCATAATTTTCACATGAAGTAGCTTCAGGGCAGAGAGTTTAACAAATGTTTCAAATTTCATTGAAATCGGAGTTCGTTTGAGCAAATGGGAGCAATTTGTAAATGTCCAAAATTGTGTGCATTTTTTGTTGCTTCACTGCTCAGAGATCGTAAGACGTGTGTGAACAATTTGGATAACTTTTATTGTTCTACGTCTTGAGATGATGTGGACCAAATTTGAGCTCGTTCGGGTGAACGCCCTCGGAGGAGTTCGTAAAAGCTTAGCAAACTTTAAGCCAATATTGCTGCCCCCTAGTGGAGCACACGGTGTTGGCGTAATAATATTTTTTCCTTGTCTTGACATGATCGACTTCTGTGTCAAATTTCATGATTGTACGTGCAAGTTTTTTTTTGTGTCATTCGTATTCCCTAATGCATTTTTGAGTCGTTTGGTGGCGCTGACGAGCCATTTTATTTATTTTTGGAAAATGGAAATAGCCAAAACGTAGGGAAGCGCGAGTTTTACCAGATGGCAAAATTTCAGGACTTTTCGTCATTGTTTAGTGGGTGAAAAATGGGTGAGTTGGTTAGGAAAAAAATAATAAGAAGAAGAAAGAAAGAAGAAAGAATAATATTCTGATGCGAGAACAATGTTCCGCTTTTTTTTGGCCGACAAACTATACATTTTCGGAAACCTCAGGCGCATTGCTACGTGATGGCGAGGGTCCCTGGTCACTACGGGCGAGTCATTCCATTTTTCGGCCACTTGGAGCATCGCTTTGCGATACTAATAGGCCCTTCGCCAGCCTCTGGCGCTCGGGCCTAAAGACACATTGCAATTTTGTTACAAGATGAGGATGCCAATCTGCGCCACCTGCCCCTTTGACCATGCATTAGATACACAGGCAATGTTGGTGTCTGAGCACTGGGTATCAAACTGTTACCCTAAATTTTTCTTTTCCTATTTACATGACTACCTACTCTTTCTACCCTCATAAATATCAATTATCCAAGACAGAGGCCGAATGTGTTTCTGTTTCTTTTACCTAGGATTCCTGGATGATCATATATAGGATCCTCCTCATTCCTCTGTTCTTCTTTGTCTTCTGGCTGCAGGAGGGTTTGTCTTAGTTCTTCATCAGATATCACCACTCCCTATTTTCAAAAGTACTGTTAAAACTGTAAAAAATTGCACATTGGACATTTGACAAAAAAAACTTCCCTTACTGCTTTCCTATAAATCCTTTTTTTGGTCTTAAGTTTGTCTTTGACTGTGGTTAAATAAATGTAGTTTAGGTCTGTATAAGAGAAACACAATTTTACAACATTACACACAAGCCTGAACTATACAACAAGGTGCCAGAAAATGTGTAAATATGCAAACAATTTACCTAAAAAGGTGGGGCCATTTTTCAATCTCTGTGGCGGAGGATCAACTACAATAAAAGCAAGAGAATCCAAATATGAAATGACATGAGACCAAGGAAAATTAACTAAGGTTTAAGCTGGTAATGACTTACAGATTCCTCTGAACCAGCTCCCAAAGTCCTGTATTACAGAATGGTGTTTTCTTTTCCTCTTTCCTGCATCATCTAAACCTTCAGGAACCTTGTAGCACTTGCCTGACAAAAACACAGTTTAATATATCCCTTTTGTCTTATGACAAGAAATATTAAGCAAGTTTTAATCATACCTGACTTAAAAGGCTTTTCTTCTTCAAGAGCTGCATAGGGGTCATGGAGAGCCCACACATTTACCTAAAGCAATAATCTATTAGTAAACCAAGGTTACATTAACAACAATCATGCCATTTAAATTTTTTTAGCAAGCATACTTCAGGGGAGTGTTCTTCCCTTGGTTTAATGACTTCTGCATGGCGCCTCTCTCTAATCATTATGCCTTCAGAAGGAGCCTGTAAAAAACAGAGTTGTATGAGTAATAGTAGCTGTGCTAAACAAAACTCAGCATCTATAGCGCAATCTGACCTGATGTCTTTCAACATGCTCCTCTGTTCCAAGGTCCACGTCCATGCCACCATCATCATCTAGAGGAAGAAAGTTATTCTCCGCAGCATCTACATTCACATCTGCTACTGTGGCACAAACTGGAGCTTCATCTACAATAACAACAGACTTTCAGTGAAATGACAAACACTGTTATATTATCATGACAGAATTGGCTTGTATGTCTTGTACCATTGTTTTGAGGCTGCTCAACTGCTGGAGGGTGTTGATTTTCTTCCATCAATTCCCTTGACTCGGCACTTGTAGATGTGAGTTGAATAGTATCATTCTCTGGAATCAGGGTAATTACCCTGAAGTCTTTCTGGCTGTACAAGACCTCACCTTTAAGGCTAAAAGCAGACATTAAGAGAATAAATTTATTCTGTTGACAAAATCTGTTAAATGTTATTCTATAGAGAAATGTTCTGACGTAATGAGGGGAAGCTTATGCTTAGCCCTGGTGTCTTGAGGAATCAGACATTCAGGAGGAAGAGGAACATCATTCACTGCCTAAGCAAAGGTTCAGAAAAGGAGTCAGCACACAGACTTTGAATGACAATGTAATAACTGAGGAAGACTCACAGTGAATGAATCCCCATTCTGATTGTAGTTTGAAGGATTTATCTCAAGATCTGAAAACTGAAAACAATCTCTAATCTAAAGCCTTTTCGTGAATAGAATATGTAAAGTCAACAATTCTTTAAAACTGTATTTACCACAGCATCATCTTCGTCATGGTTGCGCACTGCTTCTTCTGCATTATTTTTCTGAGATTCTGCTGCTTGCTTATTTTTTCTAAAAAATAAAATAAAACAATCACCTGAAATAATTTGGTGTTTTATAATAGATTACACAATAGTTGAGCATTTCTTACTTTTTGTTTTTATCGTTGATGTACTCAAGGGTTTGGTAGACTAAACTATGCAGAAGCTCAACCTAAAAGACAGAGAATGTACTTACTGACCCATTTGGAGTATGGCAATTACAATATTCATATTTCCAAACCTTTTTGCTGTAGATACAAGCAGACCCCTGAATCAACAGGGCAGCCTCAGCAAAGTTTAATCTTATTTCACCTTCGTCAAATGTGATGCACATTTCATCAAGCTAGATGTACAAGTAGAATACAACTCAATTTTAAAGAAACAAAAATTAATACATTAATAATAACAGTGCCGTTACCTCTTCCAAATAATCATGTAACTCTGAGGCTATGTCCACATCCCAGTTCTTGGTGAGTTCTCTAATGGGCTGCAGCAGGTGAGCGAATCTACTCTTTGTGGACTCCATGTTTTCCTGTGTGGAAGTATGGACACAATGCTTTAACAATTCATAATGTTACAAACACCCCATATCCACAGTCTCACAGGCTCAGGATTGTTATATTGTGATTCAGAGCATCTCTGTTTAATGCAGCTTTATGCTCAAATAAAAGACAGTATTAAACACCCATCCCTATTGGACAGCCTCTGTCAGTGAGTCACAAGCAGATTTAACCAATCATAATGAGGTGTGAACTCTTAGGAAGCAGATGCATGGCTACGTCTTTGAGCAGATGGCTCGAATTATTTTATATTAATGGCTCATATGATATAAAGAAAATAACTGCGAGAATCATGTGCCCACCCCTAATTTGCACAAATGGAATTAGTTTCTAGTAATTGTTCAGTGTTTCCCATTAACAGAACAACTATGGTAGTCCCCAAAAGTCTAAAATTCTCCGTGATAGTCTAAAAACGACCTGGACTATACATTGGCATCACAAAATCACACTTTGTTGCCCATTCTCCATTATCATAAACAGTTAAATGTAACTATACTGGTCCTAAAAGGACTGCTTTAAAATCAAATATAGGCAATCAAAGTAATTTATACTCCACAGATTGTGTAACATGTTGTGCATAATGAATTACATAGGTAAACAGTTAGACCCAGACATTAGATTCAAATACCGTGGTGGATATATTTATTGAGAGATTCAACTAAATGGTGGTAAATTTAACGTTTTTCTCATTTCTGTCAAATTTAGAGTTTAATTTGCAACACCAAAATAGTTAAATTGATAAAATATCGTATGATCATCAAGATTCAGGTAAACACGAGCAAATCGGTTAATATTTTCTTTCAAAATGAACACTTACTGTATAATATGCGTCTCTCGAACTACA